GCACTGGGCCCACATGGCATGGCCTGCGTCCTGCCCCCCAGGGGATGAACAGAGACACCGACCCCTGCAACGTGAAACCGTGTGAGGCTCCCTCCCTGGCGCCAGGTTTTGAGGAGCCGATGGCTCAGGTATTTACAGGCTGGATAGAAACGAGGGTCATCTTCTGGCTTGAGACACCCTGAGCTGAGCCTCCACGCAAGCCTGACAGAGAACAAGCATGCATTCTGGGAACAAAGTCAATTACATCAAGGCTGAAATTCTCATTAAGTGGAGGCTCTGAGCTACTCTGCAAATAGGTGTTTTCTTCCATTTGCCCAAAGGGTGTAATACATAAAACCAGGTGACTTCGGATTGTTGGGCTCATTAGCGCCTTAACAGCCTCCCCAGCAGCAGATCACTCACTCTCCCTCCTCCAGCACCCCAGTTCAGCAAGTTCACCACTCCCTGTGCCCCAGGCCCTTTCTACCCTAGGGAGACCCCACGCAGCTTCGTTTAAAAAACCAGAAAGGGACACCCCCCCTGCCCTACGGGTTTGCTCCCAAATGCTGACCACAGCTTGAATGTTCCAAGAACCCCGTACCCCTTTGGAAGAATGCCAAGCAGACCTGGCGCAACCAACCACATACGTAAGGACATCTCATCAAGGAAAATCATCCAGTGTTCAATGGCAGAGAGGACCCCACCCGTCACCACGCCTCCCTGGGGCAAGGAAGAGGGGGGCAGGACAGCCTCGGGAGGTCTGAGGGGACAAGGAGAGGAGCCCCTCACACAGGCCTGGGGAGTGGGGTTGCCCAGGGCCCCCTAAGTGCTAGCATTGGTTTTGTTCAGAAGGCTCGGCACAAACATTTTGCATCCTGTTCTCTCCCTGATAGGGATCGAGCCCAAATCCAAACGTCCCCAACCTCTCGGCTTTTCTTTAATTGCTTCAGGGACACCCCCACACACCTCCACCCCAGCAGTGCCCCAGAGGACCCCCCCTCACACACACACCCCTACGCCCCCGCAGGAGCCACCAATTTAGAGAAACTACACCCCCAGCCCAGGCGGATAACCGGGAGGCATCTGCAATCCAATGAGCCTTAAACAAGCCTTCTCAGGGAGCCCAGCGGGACAGGACGGAAAAGTAAGTGCTCCTCATGCGGAAAGAAACCGACTGTTTTTTGGTCAACAGCAATTATTTATTTTACATATACTCTTCCCCCAAGCAGGGTTTCTGGCTCATGTGGGTGACAACATAAAAGAGAAAGAGAGTACAGGTCCGGGACTGTGCCCACCATCACCACCGGGGGACCTGGGGGACCCGAGGGCTCCCTGCGCGGCTGGGGCCGGAGCCCGTGGAATTTCAGGCATGGGAACCATCAGGGTCCACACCATCTAATCCCGCTTCTTCGCTGTTAGGAGCAGAGTTCGAGGCCGCCCAAATCCACTGACATCAGTGTTCATTAAAGCAACCTACCAACTGCGCGTGCCCCAAAAGTGCCTGCAATCGGCCACAATTCGGCAGGCCCGGCGGCACATGGCTCTTCTGCGGTCATTTCAAGACGGGCTCCTTTTCTTCACCAGGTGGGCCAGGGTCATTAATTCTGTCTCCGCTGCTTGTCCACAGCACGCCCACCCGCAGCAGCGGGGCCCCTCCTGGTCCTGGATGGAAAACCTCCGGGCATTCACGGCACTAAGCTGGGGTTCAATTCCTTCAGTGCTCTTTCTCAATAGCACTTACATTAGTTCAGTTTTCTTTTCTTATTTAGGGCAGGCCAAAGCCTATTTCCCCCGCCCCAGGGAGGGCATCAGGGTAGGAAGAATGTCAGAAGTGTCATCAGACTGATCGTTTCTAGAAGACACTTTCTAAGCGGCCACGGGCGCCTCTCCGCTAAGAAATTCCCAAGATGGGCCGATGGTGAGGGAGGAGGGTCCCTTTCTGGAAGCGCTTACAGGGGAAATGGGGAAAGGAGGGGACGACATGGTGGCGGTCTCTGGTCTCTGGAGGGTAGAGGAGCCGCACAGACTGGGAAGAGAGGAGGGGTCGGCGTGGCCAAAGGGGACCAGCCACCGAGAGCTGCTGAGAGGGAGGAACTGGGGAAGCAGCTCTGCGAACTAACGGCAGCAGGAAAGAGGGTTTAATCACGTGTTAGCAGCCGCCTGGGGCCAGGCCTTCCCCACTCCCTAGGGTGCCCCCAGGGAGCTCCGAGGGTTCCCACACTGCTATTTTTAACGCGGACAAGAAGCGGGCTTGTCAGATCATCGGCTCTGCAGTTGCAGACCCTGGGTTTGCTCAGGCTCGTCCGGGCTAGCCGCTGCCGACGGCGCGTTCCAGGGCCCAGGCCAGGCCCTCTGTTATTCAGGCTTCCTCTTAGCCCGAGGGAGGGGCAGGAGGCTAGAGGGATGGGGCCTTTGGGGTCACCTTTGCTCGCCTCCACCGTAACTTGCCTTCCCCTAGACTCTGCCCTCATGCTTGCGACCCCCTGGTCACAGTTACCAGGAATGCCTGTGTCTCTCCAGAGCCACCAGCCATGCCCATGAGGGGTGGGAATCGCGGATCAGCAGGGCGCCCCTTGTGAAATCCCAGAAGATCCCCTTGGAGGCTCTGTGCCCCCCCCACCCCCCCAATCCTCAGGGCAGCCCCAGACCTCCCCTGCACAGAACTCTGTGCCCTGAGGCCTGAGCCTGCCTGCTGCTCCCAGGACCCCAGGGCATGGGGTGGGGGTGGGGCTGGGGGGCCAGGGCATCAGCAGGGCCGGAGGCTTCACCCAGAACCCCAGGAAAACCCTATTCCCCACTTCAGGGAACATCCTGCAGCCAGCGGGGTGGGGGTGGGGAAAGAGGGGAGCACAATTTCAAAGTCGAGATGCAACTCTGCAAGGTGCCCAGCTCCTTCTGCACGACACGAACCGCGCCCCCCCCACCCCACCCCAGAACGTGGAGCTGAATACAGTCATTAACTTCTGGCTTCGCACACAAAGAGCAGGGGGGTTTAACCACCTTCCCGATCAGAGGACTCAGCCCTGGTGCAAATACAGAACCCCAGCCTGCCCTGCAAAGCGCAAGCAGTGAATCTCTTCCTGCTGGGCGACGCTGACCTCCGCGGGCCGCCCGGTAACCTGCCACCACCTGCCTGGCTCGGGCAGGGCAGGAAAGGATTCCAGTTAAAGGACAAAACCCTTCTCAACCAGGCGATGCAATAGCCTAAGTGATCCGCGTCAGGTGGAGAAACCCTACCTCCTCCCGGGCCACCCAGGAAACAAGGGCCTGGTCGCTGGAAATAACAGATTCTGAGGATGCCGGCCGATGAGTCAGCCCGGCCGAGTACATCCTTGTTTACTTTGTTTGCTCCTCCAAGAACCCCTTGTTAAAAGCTTTTGCTGGAGAACAAAACTCACTTGGATCAGAAGCCTCCATCGGACAAACGCCCCCAGGAGCGTAAAAATGTCGCTCTGGCGAGGATCTCTCGCCCTTCAGGATCTAACCACTGGCTGGCATTCAAAGTGGGTTGGGTTTCATCAAAATAACCCCAGCCCCGCTCTGGGCCTGAGCAGTTCCCAGGATCCGCGGCAAAGAGAGGGGAGGAACAGCTTGCCCAGCACCTCACCTTTGTGATATTTTTATGACACTTGTCACCACTCTAGTGAAGTTTCCAAGTGACGCTGGGTTTGAGGTTCATGGCAAGAAGCCACCCATCGCTTTCCCATCTAATCTCCTAGGCCAGGATGAAAACGCACGGGCACGGAGCGCACAGGGCCTGACATCGCTGCTGCAGCAGGAAACACTGCAATCCTTCTACCTTCGTCCTGGGGCCTAAGAGGCCCGAGAGGGGACGTCACCACCATCCCACCGGCGGGGTTTGGAGGCCCCGTCATTCAATAAGCCAAGGATTAAAAACCAGCTGTTTGAGACAGCAAAGACTATGTGGGGTGTCTTCCTTTGTGCGTTGGGTAAGGACTCCCTAAAGGGCACCTCAGTACAGAATACACACCCAACTTCCTCCTAGAAGGTAAACTTTCACCAAATGATAACTTAAATGCTTACATCTCAACTACCTCAATGCAAATGTCAAAGGCTGAATCAAAACAGGACCTGCTTCTCCAGACCCCTCCCTCCCCACTCCACCTCCACCCCCCAAATAAGGCACAGACTACAGTTCCCCGGCCCAGTCTCACTGGGGTGGCTTCGCGTCCTTCCCAATTGTCATTAATTGAGCACCCCCGTTAGGCTGGGACAGGCAGGTTCGTGCACTGGGGCGCTGGGGTGCAGGAGGGCGCTGTGGATCGACCACAAAGCGGGTGAATGCAAAGGCCCCTCCCCAGAGGCTCGGCCTGGAAATAAAGTCAGCTGCAGCTTGAGTGTGTGGTCAGGGAGCGCTGGGCGGAACACCACCCACGCGACCCCCGGGGCCGCTGGCCGGACCCCAAGGCCAAGCCCCGCGTTCCGGAGCCGCGGAAGCCTGGCCAAGCCCTGCCCAGCGCTTCCGACCGAAATAATTACCGTCTTATATACCAATTTGTGCTCCAGCGAAAATTACTAAGTAAGTCGAAGGGAGTCTAACTAACTCACAAAGCCCAGATCCCCACACGGCAATTTTTCTAAGCCGGGCGCAGACCGCAGCGCACAGGCGGGTCCCGGGCGGACCGGACGCGCCTCCGAGGGGCGCGGGTCCAAAGCGCAGAAAATCCGAGGCTTCACGCGAAGCCCGCAGCACCGAGCTAGCACCCCTGAGCACCTCCCGTTTCGACCAAACGCGCCCCCTCGAACTTGGAGGCGCAGCCGGGAACCCGGAGAAGCTCGCCGCCCCGGCCTCCGCGGACCTCGGGCCGGGCAAGCGGCGCGGGCACCCCGGGGGGCTCACAGCCTCGGTCGGCCCTCCGGGGGCTCCCGAGGCGACCCAGGTGGAGAGGAGGCCCCTCCCCCGCCCGCGGAGTCCAAGCGCCCGGACCCCGACCCGCCGCGGCGCAGCTGCCAGGCCCGGCCGCGCCGCCCGCCCCAGCGCCTCCGCCCGGGCCGCTGACCTGTCGTCGACGTGCAGGCTGGGCGAGCACTTGATGGCGAGCCACGTCTTCCAGTGGACATGGCGCACCTTGTACACCTGCCCGAAGCCGCCCGAGCCGACCTTCTCCCAGCCCGCGAACTCGCCCGCGTCGAAGGTGCGCAGCAGCCCCAGGGCCCACGGGCTCCCGCACTCGCTCTCCATCGCGCCGTCTCGCCGCCGCCGCCGCCGCCTCCGCCCCGCGCCGCCGCGGCCGCCCAGGTGCCCAGGTGTGCGCCCCGCCCGCTGACGTCACTTCCGCCGCCTGCCGGCCCCGCCCCCGGCCGCCAGGTCCCTGCAGACCCACCTGGGGACGCGAGGGGTCACTGCGTCCTCCGCCCCGGCGGCGCGTGCGCGTGTGTGCGGATCACAGCGGGGCCCTACGCAGTTGTAGGAGACGCACAACCGCTGCGTTCGCCCCGGTGCCCTCACTTGGCAAAATTTGGCCAAAAAAGGGGGTGGGGGGGAGTATGTAATAACCAGGATATTGACTGCCATACGGCCCCGCCGGTCTTACTCGGTTTGCCCCGATTTTACGTGGCCTCATGGGCGTGCCTTACTTTCTGTGCAATGTTACCACCTGTGTAACGTCGTGTATCTACCACTGTTGTCAAGATCTCGAACTTTCCATCAAGAAAGGAGCCCTCCTGCGCCCCTTTTGGTAACTGAAACCCCAAGCCCTGGCCATCACTAATCTTTCCTGTTTCCTGTGTTATTGTAAAATATGTTATGGTTGCACGTAGGAATTATCTAGTGAGGGGTCTTTCGAAATTGGCTTTTTTTTTTTTTCACTGAGTGCAATTTCCTGGAAACTAGCGTCTCGCTTTTTGAGTCCGAAGTTTCCCATTTTGGAAGTAACTCTTTTTTTAATCACCCCAACGGCAGATCTAAAGTGGAGTTTTAGGGGCGCCTGGATGGCTCAGTCGGTTGAGGTGACCACGTCGGTTCAGATCATGTTCTCCCCAATGCAGGGTCCTGTGCGGCCAGCTCCGAGCCTGGAGCCTGCTTCAGCTTTGGGGTCTCCCTCTCTCTCTGCCCCTCCCCCGCTCGTGCTCCATCTCTCTCAAAAATAAATCAACCTTAAAAAAAATTTTTTTTTAATGGGCTTTTAAAGACAGCTGGAGTTCCTCCATCCTTTCCTGGAGAACAGTATGATTTTTACACCTTGAAGACAACTGGAAAGGAAGGATGCCTTTCCACCCTTGGGAGGAAAACATTCCCAGCCTTGAATGAGGTCGCAGCTTGGGAAGATATCTGAGTCAGAGGTCGAGAAATGTTAAGTGCAAACTTGCACGCCTAAGAGCCACTCACTCCTGCACGCCGTACAGTGAGTGAAGGCTTCTTCTTGGCCAGGTGAGATGACACGGAGGCAGGGCTGGAAGGCGGCACCAAGGAGGGAGCAGCTTAATGACAGTGTGTTTTTGTGTCGCCCCAAAACGAGAGGCTGATCCTGGCTGGCACGGGGAAGTCTCAGACTCGCCTTCTACAGGCTTCCCCTTCCACTGGGCACACGATCTTATTTTACAGCCAGTGATGGAGCCTTCTCTGCGCTTTGGAACCGGCCCCTCCCCTCCCCCACAGGCTCCCTGGAGAGTGCTGACGCTTCGGGCCACAGGGGGCCTCCTGGGAAAGAAAACCAGGCAGCCGGGTCCTTTACCCCCCTCATCGTCAACTCCGAATTGATCGCCTTGAGACCGGAGTGGCGAATGATTATTGATGGTAGCAAATGTAACTAACATTTGCACTAACATTTTTTAAAGCGTTGTGGCTTTAAAGACAGAAAGATAACTTGAAAGCCAGCATAGTGGTTATTTTGGCGGAGGTGGGGGGGGGGAAACAATCAATCGACTAGAAAATGAATCACTCGTGCGTGCTGTTTCCGGGACTTCGCTAGAGGCATCTTTCTCCAGACTTCCTCTGCTCCAGAGTCTCACGGTGCGGGGTTCATTCAGCCGCCTAAGTGACTAACAGCCCACAGCAGTCCAGTAATAAAATACACCGATTTCATTTATTTAATCATCTGGCGCTTCACTCAGCAAATATTTGTGGAGCGTCTGCTGCAGGCTCAGCACTGGGTTCCTGGGCCCACAACCAGAGCCCACAGAGGCTTGGAGACCCAGTCCCCAACTGCGAGCAGAGTGGGGCAAAGATCGCGGCCAAGGTTGGGCAGGCTGCTCCCCGGCGCCCCTTGAGGTTGGCTGTGTTCTTGCTGCAGGCCACTTCGTGCGTTCAAGGTCAGTTACAGGAAAACAACATCCCTCGCAGGAACCCTCGCAGGACTTGGGAGGCGAGCCCGGGTTCCAGACCCTGAGGGATTTTAGAAGAGTGAATGTTCGCGTTAATGGTCACTGGTCCTACGTGCTTACAAATAGTTTATTGTCAAGTTAACGTTTCTTTATTTTTGAGAGAGATGGAGCATGAGCAGGGGAGGGGCAGAGGGCTGTCGGCACAGAGCGGAGTGGGGCTCGAACTCACGAACTAGGAGATCATGACCTGAGCCAAAGTCGGCAGCTTAACCGACTCAGCGACCCAGGCGCACCATTTCTAAGTATATAAAAGTAACTTACAGTTTCAATAATTTAGTGATTATTTTACCAGTGTTTATAATGTGAGGCCGTAAACCTTTGTGGTTACTCTGTGGCCATCCAAGAAGCCCCAGAGAGTGAGATATAGAAGGTTTCTTACCATTTTCGACACAGAAATCTTGGTGTTACACTGAGGTATGAGGACACTGAAGGGCCTAAAGAGAATAAAATACTTACAGTTTTATTTTGTCATGCAAATATTTAACATAAATTCATAACAACTACAAGTGACAGGTGAAAAGATTCAAAAGGGACACAAGTCAGTTTGTTGAAATGATTTCAATCACTAATAGGGCACAAAACATAAAGATCCATCATTTTTGAACTGTAGATGTTTGATCAGCTGTAAGCTTTAAAAATTAATATTAATATTTTATGGATGAGATTAAGCATATACACATTGAAAGTTAAGGCTTCTTATGTTGGCCTTAACCTAGAGTAAGTAATCAGAATATAAAATAAGACAAAATGTATATTAAATTGAATTTTCCATCTTAATGGGCTGTAGCGATTTTCTTAGTAAACAGAGAAGCCTCACCCGTAATTTCTTAAACACATTCTCCGAAATGATTGAACCCGCTACAGGGTCAATGATTTATATCAATGAAAACCTTTTATCAAACATAAAGTTTCACTTTTAGTACATTTTAGGTACAAATAAAAGTGGACTGACCCAAAGAAAGCTATTAGCGCAAGTTTTGCGTCTCAGACTTGGGAAGTGGCCGTCGTGAGGGTTCGTGCGACCACGGCCCGGGTGGCCGCCGCGCGCGCGAGGGACCTAGCGCAGACAGCGGGCTCCCCTCCCCGCGCGGGGCAGCGCCGGGTACCCCGGGGGCTGGAGGTGGGAGCCGTCGGGAGAGGGGAGCCCGGAGGCGGAGACGCTCGGTGACGCGGGTGAAGTGACAGCGGCCGGTCCCCCAGGAAGTACCACGTGCGCGCTCTCCTACCCCGGGTGCCTGGGTGCGCAGCTCGGGGACCCTGGGGGGGTCCCCCTCTTCGCGCGCGCCCCCGCGTCCCGCCGCCAGGAACCCACGGACCCTGTGGCCCAGGAGCAGGCAGGTGCGGGGCTCTCCTGCGGCGGGGTCCCCAGGTGACCGTGGGCGAGTGGGCCCTGCCTTAGGGTGGCCGAGGGGCCCCGGGGACGCAGGGTGCATGGCGTGGCGTGGACCAGGGGCCGGAGGAACGGCGCCGGGGGTCTGGCACTCGTACTGTGTGTCCGCTCCGTGAGGCTGTCCTCCTCCAGCGGCGGTGGAGCCGGGACAGACCAGCGCCGCCAGGGGGCTCGGGGGCGAGGCCGCGGACCCCCCGCGCCTCCCGCGCGCTCGCTGGCTCCGCCCCTCGCTCCTCGCCCCGCCCTCCCAGCCCCGCCCCTCCAGGTCCAGCCCCCTCCTGGCCCGCAGGCTCCGCCCCTCGCCCCGCCCTCCTCGCCCCGCCCCTCCAGGTCCAGCCACCTCCTGGCCCGCAGGCTCCGCCCCTCGCCCCGCCCTCCTCGCCCCTCCAGGTCCAGCCACCTCCTGGCCCGCAGGCTCCGCCCCAGGTAGGTGGCTCTGCCCTCCCGCAAGGGCGGCCCCTGCGGCAACTCGCTGGGACCGTGGCTGAGCATTGCCTGCGGGACTTGACTGTTAATTTGCTGGAGAACAGAGCTTGCTCACCGCTGCGATCCGTCCCCTTCGTTCCGAGGGGCACCCAGAGCTAGGTGCCGCGGCCCGGCTTTCCTCGGCGCCCCTCCCAGGGCCGTGGAGGGGGAGAGGGGCCCACTTACCGGGTCTAGCTTTTATCCAGCGAGGTTCTCCGCTTCTTATACTTCAAGCACAGTGACACACGATGTCACGGCGGCCTCAGGGGTACAACACGGTGATTCACCCTCTCGGCCCGTCATGCTGGGCTCACGGGTGCTCACGCCCCCACCTGTCACCGTGCGCGCGATTGCAGCGCCATCAGCTGTATTCCCGGGCTGCGCCCTTCAGGGCCCTGCTCCCTCAGTCCCTAACTGGGCGCCTGTGCTTCCTGCCTGTTCACCATTTTGCCCCCGCCCCTCCCTCGGGCCACACCCATCTATTCCCTGTACTTAGGGGTCTTCTGCTTTCTGTTTGCTTCTGTGTTCATGTGTTTTGTTTTTTTAGATCCCCATGTAAGTCTTTTTTTTTTCTTTTTATTTTTTTAATTTATTTTTTTCTTACAAATAGTTTATTGTCAAGTTGGTTTCCATATAACACCCAGTGCTCATCCCCTCAAGTGCCCTCCTCCATGCCCATCTCCCCCTCCCCCCTAGATCCCCCATGTAAGTCTTGTGGGATTTGTCCCTCTCTGTCTTAATTCTCTCTAGGTTCATCTGTGTGGTTGCAAATGGCAAGATTTTATTCTTTTTATGGCAGAGTGCTATTTCATTGTATATACACACCACTGCTTTTCCATTCATCTACTGATGGATACTTAGCTAGCTGCTTCCATAGTTTGGCTATTGTAAATATTGTGAATAATGCTGCTATAAACACAGGGGTGCGAGTATGCCTCTGAATCACTATTTTCGTACTCTTTCGGTACTCAGTCGTGGAATTACTGGATCATATGATAATTCCATTTTTTAATTTTTTGAGGGACCTCCATACTGTTTCCCAGAGTGGCTGCCCCAGTTTGCATTTCCAGCAACAGTGCATGAGGGGCCCTTTCTCCGCAGCCTCACCAACGCCTGTTATTTCTTGTGTTGTTTTAGCCGTTCTGACAGGTGTGAGGCAGTATCTCACTGTGGTTTTGATCTGTGTTTCCCTGATGCTGAGTGATGTTGAGCCTCTTTTCCTGTGTCTGTTGGCCATCCAGGTGTCTTCTGTGGAGAAATTGTCTGTTCGTGTCTTCTGCCCATTTTATAATTGGATTATTTGGTTTTTTTGGGTGTTGGGTTGTATCAGTTCTTTATATATTTTGGATAATAACCCTTTATCAGATATGTCACTTGCAAATATCTTCTGTCGATTGCCTTTCCGTTTTGCTGATTGTTTCCTTTGCTGTGTAGAGGCTTTTTATCTTGATGAGGTCCTGATAGTTCATTATTGCTTTCGTTTCCCTTGCCTCTGGAGCTGTGTCTAGAACAATGTGACTACGACCAATGTCTGAGACATTACTGCCTGTGCTCTCCTCTAGGATTTTGAGGGTTTCGGGTCTCCCATTTAGATCTTTAACCCATTTCGAGTTTACTTTGTGTACGACGTAAGGAAACGGGCCAGTTTTGTTCTTTTGCACATCGCTGTGCAGCTTCCCAACACCTTTTGTTGAAGAGGCGGTCCTTTCCTATTACATATTCTTGCGTCCCTTGCTGAAGATTAATTGACCATACAGTTGTGGTCAATATATTGCTGGGCTCTCTCTTCTGTTCTATTGATCTGTGTGCCTATTTTTGTGCTATACTGTTTTGATGACTACAGCTTTTCCGTACATCGTGAAAGCCAGGATTATGACACCCCCAGCTTTGTTCTTCACTCTCAAGATCATTTTGGCCATTTGGGACGTTTTGTGATTTTATACCCACATTAATATCTTATAAATGCTGGGGCGCCTGGGTGGCTCAGTGGGTTAAGCGTCCAACTTCGGCTCAGGTCATGATCTCACGGTTTGTGGGTTTGAGTCTCGCATCAGACTCTGTGCTGACAGCTCAGAGCCTGGAGCTGCTTCAGATTCTGTGTCTCCCTCTCTCTCTGCCCCTCCCCCATTCATGCTGCCTCTCTTTCATAAATAAATAAACTTATTTTAAAAATCTTATAAATGTTAATATTTAGCAAATGTTTTCTTATACACAAGCCTCCCTTTTCCAGAGTTGTGGTCTGACTCCAGTGACCCCACCCCTGCCTTCCCCCAGTGTACGATCCGTGCCCTGGTACCTCAGGCTCACGGCTCAGCACAAAGACAGCATTAAGCACATGCGTGTTGAATCACCTATAATCTCTCTACATGAGTGCACTCTCCTCACTCCCTGCCTTGAAGTGTTGGGTCCCAGGACCCCCCTCCCTCGCCAGACACTGTCGTCTTTATCCCCAGTGAGCTCCTCCAGCCCACCGCCTCAGCGTCCATCTATCCGACAGATGCCGACCTTGGTACATCCAGGCCAGACCTCTCCTCTGCACACGAGACCCCAAAATTCAACATGGCACCCATATCTCTAAGGTACCTCCACATGTCTGAGATGAGCCTGCGATTTTCACCCCCAAACTGGTTCTTTCCAGGGTGTCCCCATCTCTACGAATCAACTGCCTTCTCTTCTGAAGGCCAGGAATCAAGAAGCATGGGGAGACCCTCATGCACCCTCCAGCCCACAAGACCCAGCCCATCATCAGCTCCCCCACTCGACACGTGGACAAGAGGCGCCCCCTTGCCCTCCCCACTCCCCCCGCGTTCCCCACGCCCTGCTGCAAAGGGCTGTCTGAGGTCTGGCCCTCCTTGGGCCTGCCCTTCTACCTGGGGCCAGGAGGGGCCCAGCCTCCTAGATCAAACTAGATACCTGTGACCCCAGCCCAAAGGTCCCCAAGACCACCCCCCCAAACTCTGCATGGGTCCATCCTCCAGAGGGTGACCTCACTGCTGGTGTGAGCACCCTCGTGCCCCCCGCGCAGCCAGAGGAGGCTGTTTGCGGGGGGTGTGGATGGGGCTGTCCCCACTGTGGGTCCTGGAGGCTTCCCTCTATTTGCTACGAAGCTGGGGGTGGACAGAAAGAGGGTCAGGAGTCTGAGATCTGCCAGTTCAAGTCTGGCCTCCTAAGTCGTGTATTTGTCAAAGCAGGACAGGACACGCGTCATCTAACACTTAGTCTACTGGCTTGATAATTTTCAACAGTTTAGACACATGGTGCGTTGGCCTCAGTTCATTCCTTCTCCGGCAGGAATACCACCGACGGTCTGATCACCAAGCCACCAGCTCCTCCTTCCTCAGCATCTCCTGGTGGGATGCTGCCTCCCGTGCCAGCCCCTGGCCCTGCCCTGGTCATTTCCTGTCATTTACCGCCCTCTCCAGGGGGTCTTCAGGGGAGGGCAGTGATGTTTGGAAAATGCAAGCCCGAGGTCATTGTTTTAGGATGAAAAGGGCCTGCCCCTCCCCCACACCCCCCAGTCTCTGCTGCTCTCGGTCCTCTAGCCACACCCTCCACCCCAAGTCCTCTGACTCAGGCTCCACAGGGCCTTTGCACAAGCTGTCCTGTCAATCAGGAAAGTTCAGCTGATGCCAAGTTCCCTCCCACTCCGCCTCTCCCCGACTCTGTCTTTCCTCGAGTCCCAGATTCAGTCAAATTCCTCTGTCACAAGCTCCTGGGGTATGTAGCTGGCTGCATCATCGTGTTTATTAGGCCCTGCTGGTGAGTAACTGGCTCCTCCTCTCTGGACCGCCCTGCCCCCCATCCAGGTTTGTCCCTGACCACCGCCCTTCTCTGTCCTGGCCACACTGGCCTTTTCGTTCTTCCACAACGTGAGCACATGCCCTACTCAGAGCCTCTGCAGGAGCAGCGCCTCTCCTGGGAAGCCCCGGCACCCAGCCTTCACCTCTTTTGTTCAATGTCACTGCTTCCTTGAGGCCCTCCCAGATAACCCATCTAAAATGGGACCGATCCAGCCCAACTCGATGCCACCCCCTGGGAGCCACTCGAGAGGCTGGGGAGTTATTACAGCTCTCTGGTGACACGCATCGTGAAATGCGTGGTGGCTCAGTGACTCAGGGGTGAGTCCTGTGGGATCACTGTGAGAGCCCCCCCCCCCCCACTGGGGCCTGGGCCCGGCAGGATGTGCTCCTGAGCCCAAGGCTCTCCTGTAGCCCTCCTACACTGCACCCCCCTCCCCGCCCCCCCCGACCAAGACCTGCCTGGCACTTCCGTTTCTTAAGTAGTTATGATCAAGCAATTTGGAAAGTATTTATGGGAAAACAGTGACAAGGCATTAAAACATTAAGCACAGGGGCTCCTGGGGGGCTCAGTCCATTAAGCCTCCGACTCTTGATTTCAGCTCGGGTCAGGATCTCACGGTTTGTGAGATCGAGCCCCGTGTCGGGCTCTGTGCTGATGGCTCCCTGCTTGGGATTCTCTCTCTCTGCCCCTCCCATGCTCATGCTCTCTCTCTCTCTCTCTCTCTCTCTGTTTCTCTCAAAATAAATAAGTACAGGGGCTCCTGGGTGACTCAGTCGGTTAAATGTCTGACTTCGGCTCAGGTCATGATCTCGTGGTTTGTGGATTCAAGCCCCGCATCGGGCTCTGTGCTAACAGCTAGATCAGGGCCTGGAGCTGCTTCGGACTCTGTGTCTCCCTCTCTCTCTGCCCCTCCCCTGCTCACACTCTGTCTGCCTCTCAAAAATAAATAATAAAACATTGAAATTTTTAAAAAATAAATAAGTACACATTTTCTTAATTAAAAAAAAAAAGTTAAGCATAGAATTACCCCATAACCCAGCAATTTCACCTAAGTGTAAACCCAAAAGAATTGAAGACGGGAATTCAAACAAAAATTTGTACACAGGTGTTGCTAGCAACATTATTCACAAAAGAGCAAAAGGTTGTAACACCCCGAGTGTCCATCAGTGGGCGAGGGAGTAACAGAATGTAATAGGAGCAATAGAAGGGACTTTGGCCACACGCTCACGGCCTGTCCCGCCAGGCATTGTCTCCCGCGGTGAGCACGGGCCTGGAGCTGGTAGCCGGGGACAGAGCTGTCTGCTCTGGGCATGAAGATCAGGACCAGATCTTCTGTCCATAGTAG